GGAACTCGAGCTTTGTGACTTGGAAGGCAAACCCACGATGAGTATCTTTGTCTGGGCTGTACTTCTCAAACCAGCTACCGACATCCTTGCACAACGGAGCAGAACCAAGTCCTCCAGCAAGGAAGAAAACGCATGGAGAAGTATTGGCGTCTTATGTAACGGACAGACCTGAGCCCTGCCAGAATAATACATCATCGAACAAAAGGACATTTAACTCTGAGTTGATATTTTAAAGCTGCAGCCTGCTGTCCATTTGTTCAGGAAATGATTCTTTCGATCATATAGCCAAACGCCTCTGAAATGTCTTCTCTATGTTCCTCACAACGCTGCGCCTGAAACCGAACAGTGCTGTCCCGGGCAGTTTATAGACAGACTTGTTTATTTTAGAAGTTTTTTTTTTTATTTTTCCATTTTTGCCATCCGTATTCTGTATTATCCATCCATCCATACATACATGCATACATCCATCCAACCACCTATCCTAGTTAAAGTCACATGGGGGCCTTGAGCCAATCCCTGGGAGCGCTGGGCACAAGGCAGGGGGATACCCTGGATGGGATTCCAGTCCATCACAGGACACACACACTATGAAGAAGTTACACTGGGATTATATCATGCGCTGCTATTTAGGGGTATGTATCCTTATTTTACATCTGGAGCCCATTTGAGGCAGCGACAGGCACCCACCAGGGGAATACCTGTCCATCGCGGGGCGCAGACACACACACACACACTCTCTCTCACACACACACACACACACACTCACACACAATGGGCAACCGAAAGATACACATTCAGCTAACTGTAACTCTCTGGGAGGAAAGCCACACACACACACACACACACACAGCAGAGGCAAGATTCCCCCAACCCTGGAGGCATGAAGCAATAGGATTCCCCCTGAGCAACTCTGCCAGCCACTTTTATTGCAATTATAGTGTACAATATATCATTATGCATATTATGTAAAATACACCAGTTGTGTTATTCCTTAACTTATTTAGGTCATACTTGTTTATACTTGTTATCAAACTTTGCACGCAGAAATTTAATTTATTTGGTAAATTCTGTTAACAGCTTCCAAGAGTGGAGGAATAATTTAAGACCCAGGAGTGTTAGAAAGGTCTCCCAGGGATCATAAAGGTCAACGAGACACTATGCAGTTTTTCTAATAGATGCATAATCTTGTCATCTGGGACTGTGAACCAGCGGAACTTGTATCCTTGTTTCAAATACCCATGACCTTTAACATAAGCATGGCTCCCCCCCCGCCCGAACCGCGGCCTCGGCTGCTTGGAGGCGGGGCACCGCAGGGAGCCCCCGTAATTATCCGCATTCCGCGCTGAAGGAGCCTGCAAGTGTAATTAGAAGGAGGACCTCCGGTGTGGCTTCCTCAGGACGTCTCGGCCGGGGATACTACGGCCGGCCGAAGGCATCCCCATGCAAATTCTCGGCAATTAATGCGCAATTAGCCGGCACTGATAACACCGGTAACCTTTCCGGTGCCTCTGCTGCTCCATGACATTTAGGTGGCGTCTTATGGCAGAAGCCAGGCCCCGTCAGACTGGCACAAACTCTGCCGTCTTCAAGGACGAGGATGTTACCCAATTTATCCGCTAAATAATTTATTCAATCGCGTCCACAGAGTGCCAAGATTTAGACTGCCATTAATTGCTTATCTGGAAAATGTATAAATCTGCGATAAATCATTTATTATGCTGAAACGGACACTGTTTAGTGTGGACTGTCTCTGTTTATAGGGTGATTTCAGTTCAAAATGCACCTTTGTGTCTTCCTACTATGACTTACGGCTATGAAATAAGTCACCTTTCTGAGCACAAAATATACGCATATATAACAGTAAGCAAAATCTTTATAAGTTTTAATAATGAGCAAGCAGTGGAAACGGAAAGGTAAATTAACCGTAATACAATTTGTGATATTCTTATACTTCGATGAATAAAATTAACACACTAATAGGCTGCATCCGTTTTCCTTACATATCATAAAAATGTAATCATATTCATTGACGTCCGTTATGATGCACATCTTCTGAGCCCCGTCTTTGAGACACTAATTTGTGGATTTGTCAGTATATATTAAAATGTGACATTTACACGGTTTCTCGTTACGTTTCTCCTCAGCAAAAAGAAAATGCGTTAATAACAGTACCTGTCATTCAAACCAATTTGAGGCACCTGTATTATAATTGCATTTGCAAGTGCAATATGTCGGTGTTGCACTTACGTAGTCATGAATATGAAATGCTGATTATGACAAGCAAATAATTACATAAACAACAGTGCTACTGCTATTGTTGTGTGATGAATTTAATTAGTAACAGAACAAATAATTCTATCTTTAGCAGCAGCGCTGTGGAAATGCTAGCTGGCCTACCGGTACACTCCCAGTAAGTAACTGGTTTGTTTTAATACTAAACCCAGAGCAGCCCTGGCTGAGGCTGAAGGTAGCCGTGCTTGTGTAATTACCCAGTGGGGATATCTCAGATTTGCTGGCAGGAGTGCCCTCCACCAGAGACAAGGACACATCCCGGCTGCACCTCCTGCTCCAGCGACACACCGCAGCTGGTCTGCCTCCATTATCAGCCCGATTGTTTCTCCCGTGGATTCATTACGGCATAGTTACCACACAAGTCCCAGACGGTGCCGCTGGGATTTGACCCCCGTCCTAATAAAATGGCTCCATTTAACCCGGAGGTGGCCTGCATTTATTCACGGCAAATCCGGGTCGTCCCTCGTTTTTTCCCTTAAAAGTCCATTACGACACACCTTCATCATTGCAGCATCCCACAAGTCGGTGCAAGTCAGGGGTAAAAAGGAGAGGATTCGTGCATCCTCCTTTTCAAGCAGCACCAGGGTTCTCATTTTGTCCTGTACATGTCAGTGCCGAATGCGGCAATTCTAATTCCTGACAAAGTGCAGTCCCTGTCACAGGCTAATGATGGACAGGTCGCGGGGAGCGGATCCCTACCCAGGTAATTAACCCTAATGAGGGCAGAGAGTGAACTCTTCGGGGAGGCCCGAGCTCCAGCTCTGCTCTGGCACCATGAGGAAAAACACATTAGGAGAAGCGGAGGCGCTCAGGACGGGACCCGAGGAGAGTCCTGTGGGCTATTAATTAAGGAGCTCGGTGACATCCACTGCCCTGTCCCTGTGCAGGACAAAGACCGGTTACATTTCTCCAGAATAAAGTACGGAATGCCCTAACGTACGTATCTTGAAATAATTATGGATTTAAAAAAAAACCTCTATCACGGAATAGATTATCCTAATATGATGCACAGAAAAATCAATACAGTACAGCGACCAAATCCCCCGTAATTAGCAAACACGAGGGAGGGCACCAAACTTACCCTGTCATTTCACATGCATCCATTAATGCTTAACATTTGCTAAGGTTGTGAAGTGCAGAACATCCTGCCGTCGTTTTTAGCGAGAGGACCTAGGAGAGGAGCAGCACCGGACCCGCACGGCACCGCATCGCCCCGAAACACCTGCTGCTGCACCCTATCTCTCGATGCCACTTAGCCGATGGCTCACAAATACTCAGCTGTACGGACAAGGAATGTGGGGTTTTTTTTATTACTGTTGTTATTTGGTGGAGGACAATATAGATAAGCGAATCAAACAGTATTTGAATGGTGTCCGATGCACAGTCTGTATCGATGCCATTTCTTTGAAATGACTTAATCTGGATCGCTCATATGGGACCAGCATATTTTCAATAGTTGCACCATATATTGTACATTTTCAATTCTGCTCAGCATTTTCACGTCATTTAAATTTTGCAAAACATTCAAATTACTTAAAAGACAAAAAAAAACCCTCCGAAGTGAAGGATAAGATGAGAAATAAGCTTTAACACTTGGTAAAAGGCATTTTGAAAAATAAGCTTTAACATTTGGTAACAATCACAGAGGTTGGAAATATCTGTCGTGCACAGCAGTCTATATGTCGCTTTGATTTTGGCGACCCTTCCACCAAAAATAGTACAAGAATGTCCTTTGAACAACTGGGCACGCGACAATCGCGCTGCCCTGCGCAGATGAAGAGAGCAGTTAAGCAAAGGGAAGGCGAGTCGCATCGTGGAATAAATTAATTGCTTTTAATTCTATACCATTCTTTTCATTTTGATGTTTTTTCAAAATGTATGTCAACGTTTGGTTGAACATACAGACAAATGTGTAACAGACGTTTGACGTCATTATCCCTTCCATTTTGCTGGTAGTGTGATCCTTCGTACCTGTACTGTACACTGAATATACATGCTTACACGCATATTACCTCTATGCTAACTATGTGTTTTTTGATTTACAATGTAACTTTGATATCCCTTATTGGTTGCTTCGGGGTCTGCAATTCTACAGTACAAGATGCCTCACTCATTTTGGCTTGTGGTTTAACCATTTTACGCATTTCTTCATGAAATAGGCATATGTATTTAAGGATTAATTTTAAAGTCACATTTTCCAGTTAAAGATTATATTTACAAATTAATGGGGATATTTATAGACAGATGCCAGACATATTTAGAGGTAAAATTAATAATAATTTGTTACTTTTTTTTTTTTTGCTTAACTAGCCTAATTTTCCCTAAATACATACTCTTTTACCACAGCCAGTAAAATTACATTTACAAAGCTGGCGCATTGCGGTCTGTGTACAGACCGAAACAATTAAACAACTGTATTCGGACCATGCCATCGATACCCCAGCCCACTGTCGACCAACTTAGTGGGGGGAGCACCGTGTCGACATTCTTTTTTTTTTTTTGTCAGAGACAGTGGACCTTGGCTTTGTGCTGCTGGTGGAATTTGGCCCTCGGGGATAATAGTTGGGTAGTTGGTGGCAATATTCACATTCAGGTGGGTGATTCATTGGTGAAGTACAATGAAATGCATTTAAACACATGGTAGGCCTATTATTATGAAGGGATCATTAAACGGCAACCTGAACCAAAAACGTATTTCCATGGTAACATCTATTAGACCTTTTTTAATCACAATGCAGAAATTACACATTTCGCTAGCGAAACATGTATCACAAATATATGCAGATATATAAGCTAACCGTACGTTTTTGTTCTACCATATAAATACCTCAGCAGACCATTCATGAGTTATTTTCAAAAGGCAGTAGATTACTAGGTGAATGTCTGCGTAAGACGCTGTTTTCCGTCAACGCATTTAATTTCGTAGAAATGGCGCCATCTTGTGGTATAAGGGAATTTTAGACTCCTATAAAGTCTTACAATTACCCTGCGACGGTGTACTGGACTAGTGGCCGGAGCAGATCCGCCCATAAGGGGGACAAAGGGGAAGACTTTCAGGTTCAGGGGCTCAGACACTTGTGGGGGCACTCCTTGATTTCCCAAATAATGAAATATTAAACTACAAAACATTAATATTATTCCTTGCTAGATTAGCAGACACTTTGTATCATATACTAAAATGAAAAGCTAAACAAAAGCAAGTTTCCATTTGATTATTCAGCCATATGCCACACATATTAAAATATATTAATTCACATATTTGCCAGTTGTATGTATTTATCTACTGGTTTGCTTAGCTAGGACCTCAGCTAAGCAAAGAGTTAGGGTTACTATCGGGGTAAGAGTTAAGGTCAGGGGTAATGCCGTATACTTGTGGACAGAATCACACACCACCACCTCTCCAGGGTATGAAGCTACCCAGGAAATCCAAAGTCATACAAGCACCTAATTCTGATGCAGACTGAATACTAAATAAATTCCACAGCTTTTTAAATGTATCAACCAAATGCATGATGGCTGAATGAGATTACTGCCACTGAGACTGGAACATGCTGTCCATTGCATTGAGTGCAAGACACTTTCCAGTAGCTAATTTCTTAGAATTAGACCCATGTGTGTAGCACATATGACCATTGACTCCACTGGCACGGCACTAAGTCGTCTCACTCAGGTGATGTAGTTTTTCTCTGTTTAATTAAAACCAAATAAATGTTGAAAGATTTAGTATGAAGCCCTGCCAAGAACTACATGTACTGACAGGGGGAGTAGGGTGATATCAAAATGAAGTATCCTGGCTTAAAGTAAGTAATACTAGCTTTCATACTACATTTAAGCATGTAGCTTTACATAAAATAAACCACCCTTTTATACAAAGCATTTATACAAAGTTTTAAAAACCTTTTCCTTTTATAGCCTGAATACAACTCTGGAAAGCTATGGGTGTAAATATGTTAACCAGTAACTCGAAAGAATTGCAATAAAAAGTCATTAAGAAGCAGAAGCGTCCCCCCTGAACGATCCTGTTAACGTTATACCAAAGGCGATGTCTAACGTCGTTCACTGCTGCCCCGGGCCTTCGCCATTACCCCCCCCGCTTTCATCCTTCATTGGTGCCGCCTTTTCTGCTTCTTTTTCTTCCCCCAGCTCCAGTTGTTTGTCCTGATCTTCACCCGCAGCCCCCGTCTTCACATCCTCCGCCACGCGTCCGCCGGGGTTCTGCCGCGCGCCGTCCGGCGGCCCAGAAAGCTTTCGCTCTTGGTCCGGCTTCACGACTTCCTGCAGGTTGAACTTCCTGAACAGCATGTAGTCCTTCACCACGCTCACGCAGCTCACGCTTTTAATCACCTCGACGATGACTGTGTATTCGGGGTTGGTGAGATCCACCTTATTCTTTGGATTCAGTGTCCCGACGACGCCTACAGTGAACGACACACGCAAATAAGCCCAAGCTAAAACAGCTAAACTTCAGTCAGGCATTATACAAAAAAGAATATTAAAAATCCCGCATGCACTCTTCAGCAGCACTTATCATACTTCTGAATTAATCTCCTTCTGTCCACATGCGAACATTTCCCAAACGAGTTACTGAGCGTCCAGTGTTTCCCCGGCTCTCACCCGCCAAAGCCTTGATGATATCCTCCCTGCTGTTGTGGCTGCTATTGCGAGCCTTGAAGGAGATCTGATAGGTGCCCTGGTTGGGCGCCTTGAACCACGGTTCCAGGAAGCTGCTGAGATACTTCTCCATGTCTTCCAGATAGGCCTTGCAGGTGCCACTCACAGGCAGCATCCGCAGGATCACTCGGGATTTCTTTTTCTTTGTTGTGTGCAGGTCTTGCAAAATGTGGTGCACCAGGTGGGCGGGGTCTGGGACAGGGCACATCAAACACAGGTGGATGTGCATCTTCGACAAGGTGCAAAGAAAACATTGATGCCTGCATACTGTAAATACACATACATACACACATACATACACACACACACATATAACATATATACGCACACCAATGTAGGCATATAATGATTTGCAAAAACAGTACTTGTGAGTTATAATCGCAATACACTGAAAAACAAGCGAGGATAAAAAATGTTACCCAAGTGTTGTGTCCTAATAAAGACCACGTTCTTGGCTCCACTGTCCAGTGCCTGGAATCGCCTCTCCCTCTTTTGCGTAGATGTGCAAATCTTGGTCACCTCTTTCTTCAGAGCTGCCTCTGCATCATCTTCATCGCTCTCCACATCACTGTCACCCTCTTCAGAATCCGAAAACTGGACAAAGAAACGGCGGCAGCTGTTTTAAACCACTAAATTTCACATCCACGTCAGTTCCGTAAATTAAAGCGCTCGATAACACGAAACGCCAGTAACACACCTTCTCTGGTCCGTATAACTGATCAGCATATTCGTTGAGAAGGCTGAATGCTTCCGAGATACATTTCCTTTCATTTATGTTGCAGGTAATCAGGATCCCTTGCATACCCACTTCCAGCTCTCGGGACCCTTTGTACTTCTTGTTTTTATAGTTCCCATACCGTTTTCTGCTCCTTTTCTTGGAATCAGACATTTTAACCTTTAAATACAGGAACAATAAGACACGCTTAACGGGCTAGCCGGAGCAGAAACAACTTCAAGTTAAATACACAACAGTCAGGTAACAAGCTACGTCTATATTCTACAAGTACACGAAATTAAGAGCAAATTTCATCTCTTACTTATCGTAACTTCCTGATACTTTACTGAGGTAAAGTGCACGTTAATGAAATCAAAAATGTTAAGCAACGTTCATTCTTGTGTTAAATACATATCATCACGTGGATATAATTTCTAGCCACACATTACCGTATTACCATCGAACTACTACGTTTATCATGTGCGCCTTGCTTTTTCTTCTTCGGCCATTTGTACCATACATTTCTTTCCTTATTCACCATACTGCCACCTACTGTACTGGGGTTTTTTTACATCCCATTTTCTTAACATAGCTGCTTATACTACCCAGAATAAAAATTGAGAACACTTTAAATTTCGTGCATTTCCAGGTACTTCGTAAATTAATCTGTTAATAGGCCACTTGCATCACCAGTTTGTTTGAAATAGTTTGAAAATAAAACGCAAAGACTACTAAATATGCATATAAAAATTTATGAAGAACATTATCAATGAATTAATATAAACGAGAAATGCGCCTATTATTATACATACACGTACAGGCATTTCTATTATATTTTATTTTACTTGTTAGCGCATTTACTACTATGTTTCTAATTTTATTTAAGTGTACTTTAATAATCCAGGGTAGCCTCCGGACCGCCGCGACCCTGCATAGAAAAAGGATAGATGGATTATATTATTACGTTATTACGTGTTCTATTCTATTATTATGCTATTAATGCATATATTTTCGCATATATTATCTGTACACTTTAGGCTTTCTGTCTGTTTTTCCTTGTCACCCGATAGGTCCCTGAGGAATTACGCCACATTCTCCATAACGAGGCAGCGTCTCTCCCTAACAGAGACTGTAAAGATAAGACCCAAAACCGCAGCAATTTTGTGTTTGTTATTTTAAAAAATGTTTGAGACATGAATTCATTTCTTTTAGTAATAACATCTCAGTTGCACAATATTTTTTATCATAAAAAGACAAGAGATTTCACATTTGTTATTTCTAATTAAGTAAATATATCTCAAATACGGATAAACAGATGCGAGGTGCATATAGTACAACGGAAGTGCATTAATGTTTATGGTTTGAGAATAACATATTGCTCTTTGGTCGTCTCTTGTTCTACGGGTAATTTATCGCACGAACTACAAAACCTAAAATACCGAAAGCTCGCTATGCAAACAGTGAATGATCCGGTGTCATATGGGCTTGCACGGTTACGGTCTTTGCTTCCGGTTCGTTCATAAACACTTTGGCAGCTTGTTGATTCACTCTGTGTTTTTTGTTTCCAACTTAATTTCACCTGAATGCATAAATTAAATCCGTGTTTTAAATGGAGTTCCATCTGCTAGTTAGTAATTGTACATAGATTTATTGCTCAGATAAATTTTATTAAAGGAATCTTACACCTACATGGGTTGAAGTGCAGTGTGATTATCAAATAGGTTACTTTTCACTTAGGTGCAAACTTTTTTATATTCGTCGTTGATTTTTTCTCTCTCTCGTATCGCCGTAGCAGAGATTGCCTTCCTTCTCCAGTTTCATCCCAGTGGTACGTTTTGAAATAAAAAGGGGGGGAAATCACCACTCTTGTACAGATTACAGCCATTGCGAAATTTTTAAATAAAACACAAAATGATTAAGTCGCTTCATCGTCAGACTTTGGAAGTGAAACGGAAGCTGGGCACGTTTTTAATCTCCAAAAATATATGCTATGGGCTTCATGGATACACAACATCGGCTCCAAACAACTTCCATGACTACGAAAGCCTGAAAAAACTATACAACCCTGAAGTTCCTAAATATTTTAACTTCGCCAAAGACGTCCTCGATACGTGGACCGAGAGAGAGAAGGTTGTATTTCTACATTTCGTTTAATGCTTTGTTTGTGTGCATTTAATGAGTAGATGTATCCAAGTCGCAAATATCGTGTGGATTTGCGTGCCTGGAGGTAGAGACCTGCACTACTCCCGCGGGACCCAACGCACCTAATGTGGCGTGGGACAACATTTGATGGGTGAATGCGGGTGCGGACGGGAGCGGGACTGAAAAATCCGTCCCGCGCAGGTCTCTACCTGGAGGTGGGCTGCTATTCAGGATTTTCTCTTGCTCCAGGAACAGACTTGATTATGGGAAAAGGATAAAGAACCAAAATACTGGCTCTGATTTTGCTGGTCGGATGCATGTTTTTCCAACACATTGACACAGTTATTTTGGAATGCGGTAGTTCGCTTTACTACACTGGTTTATCTATTTTGCCTTTTACTTTATCTACTTTATCTTCTGTGGGTTGCACGATATAATAAACAGTATCGTTTTCTCGTTTGCAGAGTGGGAAAAAATACCCAAATCCTGCCTTCTGGTGGGTAAATGACAGAGATGATGAGGTGAAATGGAGCTTTGAAGAGATAGGACACCATGCTAGAAAAGTGGCCAATGTACTTTGCGGTCCCTGCAACCTGCAGAAAGGAGACAGAGTTCTGCTGATTCTCCCCCGCATCCCTGAGTGGTGGCTGGTGAACGTGGCGTGTATGAGGACAGGTTTGTTGAGGAACATGCCCAAAGCATGCTATTGGCACCACAGGAACACATCCAGTGTTCAAACTCTGTGTCATGGTCTTGCAGTGTTACGATGATGAATGATGACATTCCGATGGCACGTTTGCGTTCCACTTCTCCCAGGAACTGTCCTCATCCCTGGCACTTCTCAGCTGACAGCCAAGGACATCCTCCACAGACTGCACACATCGAAAGCCAAGTGCGTCATAACCGACGATTCCATGGCTCCTGCGCTTGACTCTGTGGCACCCAAATGCTCGTTCCTTAAAGCCAAAGTCCTGGTGTCTCAGCACAACAGACATGGTTGGATGAACCTCGGTGAACTTTCAAGGTGAAAAGAAATCGGAATGAATTAGTCGCAACAAAGCCACGTCGGCTGTTTTTGCGTGAATGAAACGTGTACATCGATATATAAATGAATGTTATTTATTGGGATGCATTTGTTCATATCGATAGGATGGTATCAAGCGATCATGAGTGCGTCGACACGAAAAGCAATGAACCCATGACCATCTTCTTCACCAGCGGTACCACCGGCACTCCGAAAATGACCGAACACAGTCACTGCAGTTTTGGGATCGGCCTCACCGTCAACGGCAGGTACGGGGCACAGGAGGGGGCGGGGAGCGAAATGCCACACCAGATCCAGGTGTGACTCTCATGCTCAACTCTACTGGGGTCCAGGTACTGGCTGGATCTGACTGAGAGGGACGTGCTGTGGAACACCTCCGACACTGGCTGGGCCAAGTCCGCATGGAGTAGCGTCTTCGCTCCCTGGATCCAGGGGGCGTGTGTGTTTGTGCACCACATGCCACGCTTTCAAACCACTACGGTGCTGAAGGTGGGTCCCCCGGTCTGTCGATAAACACTGAACAATCTTGCTAATCTTGCCAGCGTAATGGGAATATGTTCTTTACCGGCAGTCCACAGGTTACGAATGAGATCGGTTTCCTAAATCTGTCTTGAGGACAAATTTGTAGGTAAGAGAGAGGTAAGAAGCATGCAGTGATTACAGAGTGTTGCCACACTCACCACACGATAAACCACCTCAGGGATGAGAACCTGAGTGCAGCCATGTGGCGGGTGATACCTCAGCACCACACTAATCCAAATGGAGTTATTTCCACTGACTGTAGTGTCAATCCTGCCACTAAACCCCCAAGTTATTCCCTGTAAGTTGGAGGACTTCCTTATAGGGCTGGATGTAGATTTATGTCATACCCAGGATGAAGCAATTGCAGGTTAAGGGCCTTGCTCAAGGGTCCAACAGAGTAGAATCACTCTGGGCATTCATGGGATTTGAACCAGCAACCTTCCAGTTGCCGGCACAGATCCCTAGCCTGAGCCTGTACTGTTATTGTTCTGCGTTACCACTCCACCCAAGGTAACGCAGAACAATAACAGTACAGTACATATAATTATTCTACAGTAATAATAAAAGTAACTACATATGGTACTATACTGTACCTCAAGCAGACAAACTGCAAAAGCCACGCAATGTTTTCCCATGTGTCTGTTCATTGTCACAAACCAATATTTAACCCGAATTTTTAGTATAATAGGCTCTATGGCTCTCTGCTCATAAGTACGAGTTATGCGAAAGTCAGATGTTCATCACCTGAGTACTGCCTGTATGCCGTTCCAGTATTCATAAATGTGGCATTGCGTTATGAATGCAGTTAATACTTTGTAATCAATGAATGCAGTTAATACTTTGTAATCAGCACATGACCAGTGCCTTTGTTTCAGACACTGTCCCATTACCCTGTTTCAACATTCTGCACTGCCCCCACTGCATATCGAATGCTTGTCCAGGAAGACCTCTCCAGGTAACTTACATTAATGGAAATTAGGCTCCACTTGTTCACCATTGTCTATATGTACCACCTAAATGTATATAGTACTGGTCTGGAGTTAGAGTATAAGATTTGGAAGCTCGGTCTCACTCTGTTTTACATCGCATACTTTAAGTGATACTGTAGGTGATAATGTTCTAAACCCAAAAACCCAACAAATCCTCTCTCTACACTTCAGGTACCAGTTCCAAAACCTGAAGCACTGTCTAAGTGCCGGAGAGCCCATTAACCCAGAAGTGATGGGAAAATGGAAGACTTACACGGGACTGGATATCTACGAAGGATACGGACAAACAGAAACGGTAATTCAATATATAAAGAAGAATGTCATTCATAAAAAAAAAAAAAGGTAAACTTTAAAGAATAAATGGGCTGCTATTCTTAGGTGTTGATTGCTGGGACTTTTAAAGGTATGAAGATCAAAGCTGGGTCATTTGGAAAGCCATCACCAGCATATGACGTGCAGGTACATGCATCCCACCAAAAAAAGAGCCTGAAAACTGAAGCTTGAAGCTTATCTGCCTCACAGGTAAAATGTAACAGGTTTCTGTACGAACCCTCAGCACGATGTTTGTTCCAGGTGGTGGATGATGCTGGTGAGGTGGTGTCTTCAGGAACAGAGGGGAACCTTGCCATCAGAGTGAAACCGCAGCGGCCGTTCTCGCTCTTTACTGGATACACTGTACGGCGCCTCCGCTTTCCTCTCTGTCCGCTTCACGGTCTCCCTGATGGCAGACCTTTGACCCGTGCACCACCTTGTGTGCAGGATGACCCAGAGCGCACGGCCCAGTGCTTCAGAGGGGATTTTTACCTAACAGGAGACCGGGGAGTGATGGATGAGGAGGGATACCTGTGGTTTGTGGGAAGATCCGATGATGTCATTCTATCTGCTGGGTAATGTATATCCTCGCAGTTAATTTAAATGAAGTCTAAGGCAGGGGGTTTCCAACATGGAATTTGTGGTATCAGTACTGTCTCCAAAACATGAAACATATTTAAGGGGCTCCCACCTCCCAAATAGAAAGAAACATTATAGCCCCCACCAGTCCTTCATTCATAGTCACTTGCATTACATTAGTACATTACATTGTACCTCTGGTCCATAGTCATTTGAGGGTCCCTGGTTTAAGAGAGGTTGAAAACCCCTGGAATTAAAGGCACCCAAGAGGAGGCTCAGAGTGTAACATTGTGACCTCATACCTCTAGGGCAGGGGTGGCCAATCTAATCCGCAAAGGGCCTGTGTGTATGCAGGTCTTCGGGATACGCTTCAGGGCAGCTGTTCAAACCCAGTTGTGAGGACTCTTCAGCCAATCAGTCCTCTAATTAGTAATCTAAATAGGGAGTTGCAGCGAAAACATACATACCCAAGCTTTTTGGAGCTTTTTGCACACTGGTATAATCGCAGTACATGCTGTAAGCCCGGTGGTGTCTCACTGCATTTATATTTCCTTGTCCAGGTATCGTATTGGTCCATTTGAGGTAGAAAATGCGCTGATCGAGCATGCAGCCGTGGCTGAATCAGCCGTGGTCAGCAGCCCGGATCCAGTGAGAGGAGAGGTGAGCAGCATCATCTCACCCTCTCAGGGGAAAACTTACTTAAAGGATCTGAAGAATACACTGCATCTACCCACTGCATCTATCCACTGCATCTACCCACAGGTTGTTAAGGCGTTTGTTGTCCTGACCCCTGCATACAAGTCCAAGGACCGAGATCAGCTCACAATCGAACTGCAGAAGCACGTGAAGAAAGTTACAGCGCCCTATAAATACCCTCGCAAGGTACGGTAGGAGCAGGTTCACAGATCCTCTGGCTCGAGACACAGTAACCTCTGGCTTGCAATTGGGCGATTTTGCACCCATTATGACATCACAATATTCTTCCACTCAGATTGAGTTTGTGGAACAGCTGCCAAAGACAGTCAGCGGTAAAATAAGAAGAGTCGAGTTGAGGAACAAAGAGTGGGGAAGACATTAAACCATGCTAGCAGTGCTGGTTCCTTGGATCTATGAAGAATGTATAATTATGACTGTTTGACTGAAAAAGCAATAATGATATTTTGTTTTTTAGACATTTCTGTAGTTTATTTCATAATATTTCAACGACTCCGCCTAATAGCACATACATGATGATTTTAAAAACAAGTTAGAAAATACTACCAATCATGCATTAAACCATCCATTCAATAAATATAAAATCGTACACAGCATAAATATTTATAATAAAAACTATGGTGCATTTAAAAAGACATGCTTGACTTTCATGTGTTTTGACAAGTTGATCTACTCACAGCTAATGTCTTAAGGAGGTCCCAAAGAATTTCTTAAATGGGTTCAAGCTGCCATTGGAGAAAGTTCTCTCAGACAGGGACGAGCTGGCAGATCTGTCAAAGCGCAGGGATGTGGAGGATCTATCAAAGTGCAGGGATGTGGAGGATCTATCAAAGTGCAGGGATGTGGAGGATCTATCAAAGCACTGGGATGTGGAGGCTGAGACAGCTTTGAGATGAGCAGACTCCCACTGGAAGAAGCCACAGTTTCTTTTGTTCCCAGTGGCATTTCTCCCGATGGGGCAGCTGTAGAAAACCCGGCCGTGGTTGGGCCCCCCGTTTGCCACGGTTAGCCGTCTAGCCCTGCGGCCGCAGTGGCACAGCGGAGCCGTGCCGCTCCTGCCGGCCTTCACCGCAGTACGTGCATTAGGAAGTGATGTTCTGTTAAAAAACAAAGAGGCTGAACTACCTGATGACAGTCTGGACTTGCTGGAAAGATGCGATTCATCTGTGTATGAAGCATGGGAATCTCTGCATGCAGTCATGTCCATTTCGGAAGGTTTTCTTGACGTTTCCAGCACAGAGAGAGCCTTGGGATACCTCAACACTGATGCATTTGGATGAGACATGCTGGTGTCTCTTTTGATTTTGGGGCTGGATGTAGGAATTTTAAAAGCACTAGAAGTAGAATGTGGACTTGGTTTTTCAACTGAATATACTGTTGTGTTTGAATTTTTGAACAGTATTTGATTTGAATTACTTGCACATACTGGAGAAAGAACAGCTTTCAGGGTTATGCTGCGAGTGTCATCCAAAGCAGCCGCAGATGTAGGGCCAAATTCTCTGTCTTCCAGTATTACATCATCATAGGAGCATGACTCCTCGGTTTCTGGAAATAATTGACACACTTCCCATTCCAAATTTGATGCAGTAGATTCAGCAGCCCCACTGGACTGAGCAACATTTATACTATCAACAGTGGTGGAGACCAGCGACACGCTGGAACTCGTGTCTGAGAGGGAATTTATGGAAACAGATGATCTAGCAAATGAAAAGCACCCAAGAGATTCTTGCACCTGTTCTTGCCTTTGTACAAGTGGACTGGTCAACCCTCCAAGAAGAGTCCTTGGTGTCACCAAACTCTGACAGGCTGCAGTATTCAAGTTAACTTCAGGAATGCTCTTGTTTTCTTTTTCTGTATGTCCAGACCTTTGGTGCTTAAGAGTGCTTTTAGCAACCCCCCAATCAATCTCAGCCTTTTTACACCCATTGCCAGAGGTATTCGTCTTCAGAGGATTCTGTACTACAGGCTTTGTTTTCAGCGGTGCCTGTTGGAAATATGCACAAACAGTGGGAATAACTGCAGTTGCAGCAAAGACCTTGAAACAGCTATGAAGACTTATTCACCTGGTTGGGCTTGGATGGTGTACTGCAGAACCGGGACCCGTGAGAAAGCCACTCACCCTGTCAAGAGTCTTTGTAAGTTTCAAGACGCAACCATCGGTTATCATTCTCCATGCCAGATGGGCAGTATTGCGGGCGTCATCCAAACCTGAAAGTTAGGATTTCAATCATCAGACCCTGATATACACATAAACACACACACACAAACATATCAATAATAAAGACCAGAAATTTACCCGAATGTTCACGCCCAGAAAATACGATCCCTAGGTCTTGTAAAGCTCCATTGAGTCCTTTTGGTTTTCGATTATAAAAGACCTAAGAATGTCAAACAAACAAAGTAAACAGGAGGCCATTCAATAAGGTCAAATAATAGTCGAAGTATATTTCTTAACCTCAACCAACAAGTTTACCTTATACGTGGCTCTAAGATCAATCCATCTATTTAACATCTCAGGTTTGAAGATTTGTTTTCGTTTGCACTCATACTCCAGACAAACACCCAAGTCCCAGTCTGAAAAGCAGTATAATAAAATAAAACAAAGGTAAATCAGTAATGTCAGGTAAACCATACATTTTGTATCTCTCTTTCTTGCTCCATGTGTACGTAAGAGACGGAATCAAAACAGCATACCAGACCATGTGACGAATGCACACGGATTAAGAGCAGGAGCAGGGATGTTGTGTTTGAGGAACGCCAAGTTCTTTCCCTGCTGTAACGTCTGAAGCCAGCGTGCAAACTGAGACAGGCAAACCTGGAGAGGGACTCCAGCTTCCACCTGTGTCTGATGGTGAAACACACTCTCAGCTCAGGTCCTTTGAACTGAAAGCATGAACAGACTAAAAAAGTAGCAGATCAGCATTACCTGTCTGATTCCAGTGAGCTCTGTGCAAAACTCAGACAATGTAGGATGCTCCTGTGGTTGGACATAAGTATGAAATTCTGCCTCAGTCTTTCCATTTGAGGTATTCAGAAGGACAGCTGGAAATTCGACTGTAAGATCAACCAACAAAAAACATAAAGACATCACATAAAACAAGCAAAAAACAATATGACATAAAATTGTGTAAAACAACAACTCACTTATCTCTTGGGCATAATTTTTTCTCTCTTGCCAGCAAGTAGATTCAAAGTCAATGACAATTAGATACGAAAAGAGCTGTCCTGAAAAGTTTATACAACAAAAAGTTAGAAATCAAGAACAGTTGGCTCATCTCTGGCAAAACTGTTTAATACTGAATTAAAGAAATTCACTGAAGAACACTCACGTTGTTAAAGATTTTTCTAAAACCGTTTAGCCTCAGATCATAAAATGAAGATTTACGCACTCCTAAACCACCAGGTAGATAATGTGCAAAACACTTGTTAAAAAGCTGGGAAATGCCACGGAATATGAGTATAATCAATTTAAACAGAGAAAGAGCACAATATATTACCTATATCACCTATCTGAGCATTTACACTTCCGTGCATGGCTCGTCTGGATTTTCTTATTAATCCGAGTTCCCTGCAACACAAAAAAACACGCTTGCATCTCTTTCTGGTCAGTATATTGCAGTCAGTGAAATATCATTCGCTCATAAAACATCACTTACTTCGCCAGTCTCTTCGTTGCCATATCGTTCACCTCCTTAGTCACCGATTATATAATTTATATAATTTATAAACGCCTGCTGATAGTGTAATCAAACAGAACGACACCATAGCACCGACTGTGTTGCATTTCAAAATCTCCGGGCTTTTTGAGTAAATACGTCACTTCCTGTTTCTTCTGCAATCGACTCGTTACGTCTGCAAGGATGTGTAATCGCGCAGAAACAGAGACAGCAAAAGCATGGGTCATCCAAACTAGGGAGAACGTGGCTGTGAAAGAGGATGCCATTTAAATGAGTAAAGTATTCATAAGTTTATTCATTTGTTTCTGCACGCAATATTACCTAATTGCAGTATAAGTTCTGCTTGATTGAGTCGATTGTCAGTTTAGACAATTGAACCATTGAAGGGTTAGGGTTAGGATTAGGATTAGGGTTATGGTTATAAGAATTGAATACATTGGCTAATAATATAGATCACAATTTAGCGGAATGGGGAATTTAACGATGGTGTGACGTGTAAGGACCGTTTATTTTGAGAAGGAAAAATGTATTTTTAACATTGCCTGCTATTGATACAACTTTGAACACACCCCTCACTAATGGAGCGTTGTGACTTAACGGGATGCTTCTCTCAGATTATGTACATTAAAATTATGATAAATGTTTCATACAAAACATTTATAAAAACAGAAACTGACTGTAATTTATCACGACTGTGTATTTGATGGTTAGATTGTGTATAGTGAACTGTACCTTTTTGGTTCTTGTTTCCTGAAAAATCAGGTGAGGTCTTGTACATATAAACCCGTAAGCAAATGGCTGGTGCTTTGGGATGTAAACGGAAATCTACTGAATCTCCGACCCACAATGGATGCGCCAAAAATCCGAAGAAGTCGCAGACTAAAGTACGAAACCTGGGTGAAGGAAACACAGAAAACGGTGGATAATTCGGGTTATGTGTCATTTTATTTTCTTTATAATATTGACGGTTTTTATTATTTCTTTTGATTTTTGACAGAGTATTCCACGATTAAAGCTGACCTTCCGTGATTTATATGGAACAATCTCTCAGCAGAACTTAAGCGAGTTGCTTTTGTTTGCGTCGCTGGGGAAAACGTACAGTCTGAAACAGCCAGAGTAAGTGATTAAGCCAGAAATTGTCATGGCAATATTTCTGTTGTCTCTGATTTGCTTTCTAAGATTTATCCCCTCTTTTTTCCAGTTGGTGTCGACTTCGTCATCAAAAGAATGTGTGTGCAGTTAACGTAACAGTTTTAGAAGGTCTCACTCAGCTGCATTTTTACAGATATTATCTGCAGTTTAAAAAGCTCAGGAAACTGTACAACATTGTAAGTAACTAAGGTTAAATGCATTTGTAAATTGCAAGATTGATGTTGTATCATGAGGTATTCTTGTAATATCTTTTGGGACATGATCGGTGATTTAAAATATGTAATACTGTATTCAGTTCAAATATTCTAGTAATGACTGATATTGGCTACATACTAAGTGTGTAAAATTTAACCTGGAGTCACTCTGGTGGGTGCAAGATGTTTTAATAAACTGTTTATTTTCTTTCAGCGATGCAGTTTTATATCCCCAGCTGGCAATGTGCTGTCTGAAATCTTAAGCACCGAGCTTTGTAATTACAAAAACACTAGCTCGGTACTTTCCATATCCAATTCTGAGTTGGAAAAGACCTTGGAAAGTAAAGGAAATGGTATGCAATACACATTAATAACCTTTCAATCTGATTTAACCTGCTCAAGGTAAAAGCCATCAATTTATCTAGGAATCTGTGTTTTAATTCACGAAGCAGGGTCACAGTGGTCCATTTCTAAAAAATGTTATCGTACACAAAATTCTTATAGATACATTTTACAAAAAAAATCAAATGCATTATTTGGCATGAGGGGCGGCACAATGGCCCTATCGCCTCACACCTCTGGGACCAGGGTTTGAGTCTCCACCATGGCTCCATGTGTGGAGTTTGCATGTTCTTCCCGTGTCATAATGGGGTTTCCTCCGGGTAGTCAGGATTCCCCCCACAGTCCAAAAACATGTTGAGGTTAATTGGCATTACCAAATTGCCCATAGGTGTACATGTGTTAGTGATTGGTGTGTGAGTGAATGAGGAGTGAGTGATTGGTGTGTGAGTGAATTCTCATGAATAAACCATCCACCTATCCATCCATCATTCAATTATTTATCCAGCACAAAGTCACAGAGGTGAATAAACCAGCTATCTTGTTTATTATATGGGGGAAAAAAATACAAAACCTTGAAGAAAATAATTTACTGTCTGTACTTGCAGCCAGAATGAGACTATAATTAGAAATTAACTGATAGCATAATCAAGCCCATTGAATCAGAGCTGTGCTCTCCTCTCAGCTCAGACGTTCAATCAATGCGGCATTCCCTCCTTCTCCACAGAAGACCTAAGCTGGCATCCAATCATCCGTAAATACGGCTCAGAGACTCAGGGTCTCACCGCCTACCTGCTGAGCCCAGACGAGATGAGCAGAATGTCCTTCCCACAGAAAGGTGAGTGGGACATACAGCTCTGGAAAAAATTAAGATATCACTCTATGTTTTTGAAAATCTGCTTTTTTAAATCATCTTGGTTTATCCTGGTTCTGCTGGCTGAAGGGTACACTGTTTGACAGGCTGCTTGGAGGCTCAAAGTTTCTAAGATGGCAGTACGCAAGAATAAGGTGAAGCAGGAGACACTGGCAATGACCAAAAACCAGCCAGATAGAGGGCAGAAGCAATTTTCTAATGCCAGAGATGGATTAGAAAGGCTTGTAGTTTGCAAAAAATATATATATTTTACACATAAGTTGAGAAATGCGTGAATCTTTGCTGAGGTCTCTTGATTTTTTCCAGAGCTGTATAGGTCAAGTGATTTATACTTTCAAACATAATTCATTCTCACTGAGAAAATCTACTGTTCTGATAGATTGAGCTAGCTCACAATGCTGCTTGTTCACTTTTTTTTTCTTTTACCTGTATGGCCAGATGCTCCTGGGTGTGAATCCTTTCTCTGCACACAGAGTGATGGACATGTTACAGATGGCAGTCCTCTCTTTGGTCTGGACTGTGAAATGGTGAGTTAAATGACCCTCATTTCACTTCATCAACAGGCAAGATAGTACGCAGACAGGACGGTATGCAGAAAGGATAAGCAGTACAGCAGAAAGGATAAGCAGTACAGCAGAAAGGATAAGCAGTACCGCAGACAGGATGGTACGCAGAAAGGATAAGCAGTACAGCAGACAGGATGGTACGCAGAAAGGATAAGCAGTACAGCAGACAGGGTGGTACGCAGACAGGATAAGCAGTACAGCAGACAGGATGGTGCGCAGAAAGGATAAGCAGTACCGCAGACAGGATGTGGCATGTTTTTGAATTAGATTGCTGTCGACACTCACAAAAAGTAATGAGATTTGAATCCGCCGAGGTCTGGAGCCATGTCTGGTGTCTTGTAATGTTTCTCCTGCCCCTCAGTGTGTGACTGTGTGTGGCACCGAGCTGACACGCGTGTCCCTGGTGAACAGCAGTGGCCGCTGCCTGCTGGACGAGCTGGTGAAGCCTGAAAACCCCATCCTGAACTACGTCACCAGGTGCGCAGACGTGGACCTGGAGGAGATGGGAGAGGGGGGCAGCAGCACTGTGTTTTTCCTCTTGGGTCCCTCCATTCATCTGAAGCTATGATGACTTTCCCTCTCCCCTCCAAGGTACTCAGGGATCACCAAAGCCATGCTGAAGCCAGTAAGCACCCGGCTAAAGGACGTTCAGGCCAAGGTGATTCAGGCATTGCCCCATGATGCTGTGCTTGTAGGTCACTCCCTGGAGAACGACCTCCGGGCTTTGAAGGTATCTTTCACAACGCTGCTGAGGACCGCTGGGAATTTCGCATGTTTGGTCGTGTGAAGGTGTCGCATGCTGCATTGGTCCTGTTGTTGCATTTTATTCAACCACATTGACCTTGGATGACGTCCGTTTCCCCCGCAGTTGATCCACCAGCATGTTATAGACACCTCAGTTCTCTACCACAGAGAATTCGGCCAGAGGTTTAGATTGAAGTTCTTGGCAGAGGCTGTATTGAAGTAAGTGGACCCTTCCAATCCCTCTCTCCATGAAGTCTGGTCCAACCATCATCACATACTCTGACACCGGTTAATCTGCCCCCCCCCCCCCCCCATGATGTCTGCAGCAGGCGGATTCAGGAGGAAGGTAGACGGGGTCACCACCCCACTGAGGATGCTCTGACCGCCTTGGATCTGGCTCAGCATTTCATTGGTGTCGGGCCACAGAAGGCATGCGAAATCTCCTGCCGTCCGCCTGGAGGTCATCTGAAGGTCATGGTGTGAATGAGCTCCAGTAGTGAAGCATGCTTTCGTTTGGGTTTCAAGGTAGCAGCGTTGGATCTCGATGCGGAATGGAAGAGGCGTCTACCAAAGAAGAATCCGGCGAATGGAGCCAAAGCCAACAAAGGCGTGAGCAGTAACAGGTGAAGTACTGGACTCATGGCCCCCTCAAAGCATTTGGGGGGGGTATGATCAGAAATGAACGCTATCCATATAGGACTTGGACACTTTGAGGCAAGCAGGATGGGGCAGCCCAGCCCTTATTTCTAGCAAAGGCTGACTGATGTTAGCGTGACTAGAATTATTATTTTATAAATGACAGCTAGGTGGCGCTCACTACACATAAAGTTTGGGGTTGTCATTTTGGGTGATTTGCTTCTGTATTCAAGGGGGGCCTGAAATGAACCACATCAGCTGTAGCCTCATTGAAGACCATCTGTATTTAGATGATTCAATGAATTCACACTCCATTGCCTTACACATAGCGGATGGAGGAAAAACCCAAGGAAAATATTACTGCTTAGTTGTATCTGGGCATTCGAGCAAAGCTTGGATCACCATTTTCAGTAAAGGAGCTTTCATTGCTTTCTGAGAAGAGCAGAGTGTAAAATACCAGCTGTACCTTTCCGCCCGTGTCAGTAATAGCATCTTCCTTGCATTACTCCATGCATTTGTTATGGTTGTGGTGTTGTACCCTGCGTGACTCTGACGGGCGTCTCTGTTCTAACCCCCAGCTTTGGAGATGCCCTCAAGGCTGCCAGTCTGTCGGCAGTTCATCTGGGCGTGGCGGCGGGATCCGGAGGTCTTGGGGTCCCGGCGATGTGGAGCAGGGTCCAGTGCAACTCAGACCGGGAGGTGGGCACTGGCATGGGCCAGCTGGACCTCAGCGGGGGCATGATGGCGGTGGGCATGACAGCGGGGAGGGTGGTGCAATCCACCGCTTTATGTTTTTCGTGCATCAGGTACTATCTGCCTCCAGGAGCGAAACACAAGGTCATTTCTTCAGCACGGTTCGGTTCTCCTCCCTGGCTGAGCGGGCGAGGGTCGACTTGCAGGAGAAGCGTTTGGCCGATCACCTCCACCGGGTATGTTCTCCCCCCCCCTTCAGACACCGGCAGTCACACCAGAGCCTGTCCTGTTCTCCGCTGAAGTGAATCCCCCCCCTTCTTCCTGTCCTGTTCCAGATGGCAGAGATGTGCATGATTTACGCCGGGCCGCTGCCCAGGGACTGCACGGTGCAATCCGTGCAAAGGCTGTTTCGACGGTGCGGTCCAGTCCGGTCTGTCACACTGCGGGAGGGCTTGCAGAGCGTAAGTCTAACGTGTGCGCCCTCTATGGGACACATCCAGCAGTGATCTGAAGCCCCTTACCTCTCTCTCTCTCTCTCTCTCTCTCTCGTTTCCATGTCAGATCCACGCCGTGGTTGAGTTTGAAATGCTGGAGGGAGCTTACCTCGCTGTCAAATCCCTCAATGGTCATGAGCTGCATGGTCATCCTATCACAGTTGGTATTTCTGTAGGATTATTGTCCCTTTGCAAATTAAAGTGCTTCGACCTGGCAGTTTAGAGCCTGGATCTGCAAATAGGGATTTCCGGGTTATAGACCTTTGTACGCACACAGTGTTTGTGAGGCGTACCTATGCGTCACGTGATGCATGGTCACCGCCATTGTGAAGTCACATATCCCGTCAGCCATTCAACAGTAGCACTGTCCAGCTACACGCATTGGACATCATCACATAATGACATCACACCACATATCCTGCCTAGTGCATTTCTTAAGTCTTACACAGACGTTTGTTTACATTAGCAAAAAACAAACAGTAGGTCACCAGGGCTCCATATCCTGGTGTTTTCTGCATTTGATAAAACAACTGATGGTACAGGGCTCGCCAAGTCCCGGATAATATTTTATGTTGTGCACACAAGATATTTTGTTTGCAAGCAATAATTAAACTTGTTTGCCAAAAACATTATCATGAGGGCACAATAAATTAGCCGAACTTTAAAGCAGTGGTCACCAATCCTGCTCCTGAAGATCTACCTTTATTGTTTTCTTTTTGCAGTAAATGACCAATTAATGTTGTACACTGTCCCATAATGGACTGCTTAAAGCACAATATACTTGACGTGTCTTATTTAGTTTTAGAGTTATTAACCCATTTATTTATTCCAGTGCACTCTGAAAAAACAGATTATAGTTAGTAATAGTCATATATGGATACAACATGTTGTTGTAGAGTTAATATAACAGTTATTACACGCTGTGTGCTATGAATGGACACTCAGGGCACCTGACTACAAGTGAATGTGAAGTGCACATGCCAACATTAAAAATTTTATTTAAATTTCACCCATGAAGAAGTCTGGAAATGCAAGGGGTTACAAGACTTGCCATTTACTCTAAATGCTGAACCAACATCTCGTTACAGCTGAAATAGCCTATTGTCGTAGCCTTTAACAAGATTAAACACAGTTAGTAAAACGGCTTGAATTGCAAAAATGATTGGTATGCATCACCATCTGTGTACTGGACATCATGAATCTGTGGTCAAAACCCCCCTGCTTGCTTTTGTTAAAAGATATTACCAGCAGAAAACTGAATATTGAATATGAGGCTTTATCAGGGTGTACTTTGTAAGAAGTACAATCATATGCTGTATTCACCCCTCCATGTTCACAGAATATAATTTGTGTGCTCACGTTAATAAATTGAGCTCTCAAGTTAATTTATTGTTCGCTCAAGGATAATTATATTGTGTGCACAATATAAAGAAATATTTTTTGGGACTTTGCTACAGTACGAACGCAATGGATCAATGCTACTGTCTAATGATGACAAAACTGCCCACTCTCGCTGAATAGTTACATGATCAAACATGGTGGTATCCAGAAAAGCGTGTGTACAGAGGTCTATAGTCAGTAGGGGGCGCCCTTGAGCGACATGTCTTTCCTGACCTTGGCTGTCAGATACAGGTAGTGGCCCACAGGACTGGCAGTGCTGTGCCTCTCTCATACTCAGGGTTATGCTGGTTCCCAGGTTCAGAGGCCGGTAAAGGAGTCCACCCTGGACCTGGAGGTGGCGCTGGGCGAGCTGGAGGCCGACGCCCTCATCAGCAACGTCCTTTATGTGGCCCGGGTCACTGAGCCGCTCCTGTGCCCAACCTTCAGCCGGTTCGGCCAGATCGAGGGCGTCGTCCTGCCTGGGAGATCGCCACTGGCGAAACACCGCAAAGATGCCTTCATAAGTGAGCCAGGACGTATCCCTTCTTTGAAGGAGACGGGAGATTTATCCAGCGTGTGATGCAACCTGAGGCTTTCTGGGAATGTGCAGCATGCGTGTAAGAGCCTGTTGTTGTCGTCATTCCAGAATTTGAGAGCTCAGAGGCCGTACAGGCCGCCCTGAGCTCAGGCCTGCGGGCGAAGGGCAGAGAGGTGATGATGTGCAGGGCGCTGACCCCCTGGCACCTACCCTGCTGGGCCGGACACGTGCAGCAGAGCTCTGAGCACCAAAGCACCATAGAGGGGATGTCCGCCACATCAAGGGGCTGGAACGACCCGGACCAACAGGCTGACGTGAGTCTGTCTGAAATGGCTTCCGGCTTCCTGGGAGACCAGGTGCTCCCGTTCTCCTGTTCTGGGCTCAAGGTCCCCTCCCCCCTTTGCAGGAGTGTGAGATGAAGACTCTGATAAAGAAACTCGACCGGAAAGTGGGGAAGCTCTTCCAAGCCCTCCCAGATAAAACCCTGAGTGTGCTGCTCCTGCCCGGCCTGAGAAGGTAAACCTGCCTTCATCCCAACGCCCAGAATCATCAGGAAGGCTGTCCCAGAATAAACCCAGGGGGGCAAAAACGGTCAAGGCCAAGTGTAGTTCGAGTCTCCACCTTGACTCCATGTGTGTGGAACCTCAGAGTACTCCAGTTTCCCTCCGCAAACATGCCGAGTTACCAAATGCGTGCGTGTGTGTGTGAGTGAGTGAATGGTGTGTGAGTGTGCCCTGAGATCTGTTAGCGGTCTGTTAAGCGTTTATCCTGGTCACAGGGACTTTATACTTAGAATAATAGAAAATAGCATTAGCATCCATGGCCAATATAAGTAGTTTTCATTTTTAAATAACAGTGTATCATCTAAAGTGTTGTAAGTAACTGGATATAAGGACTTAATAGATTTTGCTGGGCTTCGTGGTTTATCTTGCGTAAAACCAGACATATCAGGCATGTAATATAAGGGTGCATTGTTCTGCTCTCTGACACGCAGCTGCAAACTAACCAGGTCATATCAGATTTCCAGTCGAAAAGGAGAGCTGCTCTTAATTTGCATAAATCACCTACGATGAGCAATACACATGAGTCATGGGAACATTAAGGGAAAATCTATTGAGTAGCAGAGTTCATGAGCATCGCCATGCTGAGTATTTCAGGGCGTGACAGTGGCCCTGTTCCTCTCACGCTTGTCTGATGAGATTTGTTCCCTGGCATTTAATGTTCTCTCAAGCCCCATTTCTTGGCTAGATTCTCATTTTCATCTGTCGTTATACATTGATTTCAAACACCAGGCTTTGAGGAAATGTCCTGCATAAATGGATTTATCAAAAAGGCTGGTTTCTCTCCATTCAGGTGGGGTATTGCCCCACAATTTAGTGATTTGGGGGGAATGGTCTATGTACAGTGCCCATTGTGTGTGTGTGTCAGTCATGTGACCCACTGGCATTTAGGGTATTCCCGTCTCACATCCCGTGTCTCTTCAGATAGGCTATATGCTCACGGCATAGCAACAGAGGGAGAGACAGATTTATCAAAAAAGAAAATGAGGAAATTTCAGAAAGTTCTGTATCTGTGGTTACAGTGACACAGTTAAGGTTTCATATACACTTGTTTTTCATTATATAATATATATAATATTAATGTCTCTTTAATTCTGCAAACTATTTTCTTTCTGCAGCACCAGTGCGGATCTCCCGGGTCTTTGTTTGATCAGCATTAAAAGCGACTCACACCTTTGAACGGTGAAGAATTACAGACCACCAAATGAGGAACATTAAACCAGATTCACACCACACAACGAGATCGAGGAATCTATTTTCATACGGTTTCATGCTGCAGTTTTACCTGTTTTATTGTTGTGTTTTTAATAAACCAACTTTTTCATTCCTTACTCTTGCTTATTTTCCTTAAAACAGAAAAAATAAAGGGCTGATGGGCAACATGTTGATATACACTCACCTAAAGGATTATTAGGAACACCATACTAATACGGTGTTTGACCCCCTTTTGCCTTCAAAATTGCCTTAATTCTACGTGGCATTGATTCAACAAGGTGCTGAAAGCATTCTTTAGAAATGTTGGCCCATATGGATAGGATACCATCTTGCAGTTGAAGGAGATTTGTGG